AGGGGGGGAACATAGGGGAAAACTGAATATTACTTCGGCCAGCTGAGTTTTCACCTCTAACTTTGCAAAAGTAACTCTAAGAATGAAATTTTGTGAGGAACAATTGGTTGGCATAAAAGTGCCTGCTAATTCTCTTCATAAAAAGCACCTGTCGTGCACACACAGCTTCCATTTCCACCCGAACTGGGCTTATTTTATGTCTGAGTCCCACTTGGTGGATAAATTGGTTATAGATACATCTGTAGGAAGGAATCACTGGACAGGAAAAGGTAACACTATATTCTGCTAATCTATTTTCTCCTATACCAAGGCAAAACATTATTTATCAATATCAGACTTTCTCAGCCTTCCCATGGTCAGAGATTATGGGAATTGTAATCAAAACGTCTGGCGAGAACCTGTATGGGGAAGGATGTCCATATATTGATACTTTTCCAAGGCCAAGTGCTTCATAATATGAAAACAGCAAAAAATGTTATTAACAAAAAAGATGTATAAACCGATACTAAATTATTTATTACAAAAAAATAAACATATATGCAAATTGTCCAGCAGTAAAACCCTAATAGGGTAAATCCTATACTGGGGTCAGCAAACGTTTTCAGTAGGGGGCAGGTTCACTGTCCCTCAGACCTTTTGGGGGGCCGGACTATTTTGGGGGGGGGGGTTGAACGAATTCTTATGCCCCACAAATAACCCAGAGATGCATTTTAAATAAAAGCACACATTCTACTCATATAAAAACACCAGGCAGGCCCCACAAATATTTTAAATGAAAGGGCACATTCTACTCATGTAAAAACACGCTGATTTCTGGACCTTCCATGGGCTGGATTTAGAAGGCGATTGGGCCAGAACCTGCCCCCGGGCCTTAGTTTGCCTACCCATGTCCTATACAATGAATTTCAGCATAATGCATTGCACTTTAAGCTGAATGTGGTTTGATCTCATCAGTGCCTATATAACATAAAAAATAGAACATATCAAATCTGTAAGAATCCATCAATCAAAGGTCAGCACTCTTCTACCTAAAAAGGCCATGTATAAAAAGTAATGCAAATCTATTAAAACAAAACAATAAAAATAAATTAATCAAATACATAGTTAAATGGGAAAAAGTCATGACAGCCAGAGAAAACATATTGAAATCAACAGGTTTCTTAGGGGGCCTGTTGAGAGAGTTTCAGAGACATACAGTGAGAGGAACAGAGGAAGTGCTTTCCACAGTACACTCCTTCCAAGACATGGTTAATTCCAAGACTCACTCATCTACACAATGTTCCTTGTGACAATTCTTTCCCCCTAATATTGAGACTGTTCTTTAGCAGATGGAACTCCTGAGATTAGGTAAAAGTGAATATTATCACAGCTGTGTGTAAAAACATTGGCTTCTGCCAGTGACAGCAGAGCTCCCTCCCAACTGCTTCTGCTGCTGGAAGATCCAGAAATCAGAGGCTGTGTGATTCATTGAGAGTATTCCACTTGAGAGCTACTGTTGTGCAACCACAAGACTTTTCTGACCTTCTAATGCAATCTATAAAGCTGTAACCACATCTTGTATTTAATGGTAATGGTTTGATGTGATTCACATGCTGTAAAACATTTGAAGATTCACAGAACAAAGGAAATTAAAATGAGATAAGAGGGGTCCTCGTACCTTTCAGTACAATTATACGAAGACATGTCATAATAATTGTTAGCCTAGTAAAATTTTGCATTCTTTATAATTAAAACCTGCAAATCAAATCAGTTTATTGTCAAGCTATGTTGTCTTATTCTGTAGAACATGCTTTGACATATTAGCAAAACATCTTAGGCATCAATTAGAAACAAGACCTTTAAAAGAGTGTAATTTGCTATAGATCCAATTTCAGTTGCACTTCATCTCCTAGTAATAAATGTCTAAGGATGAACACACTTCCAGCCAAGTACTTTTTATCTTAAGAGTTTATCCAGTAGATCTGTAGCCTAATCGCATTATATGTGTTGCTATAGTCCTTAAGATACCATTCAAGCCAACAAAATGAAATAACATACCTCACAAAGCCTCAATCTAATTTATTAAATCAAACTTGCTTCACAGCATAATCGTCAAGAGATCTACTCAGAAGCAAGTCCCACTGAGTACAATGAAAAGTGAATATAGGACTGCTGTCTCAGTTGTTTAACCATTTTATTTTAACATACTGTGTTTGGTTATGGATTAAAAATTCCTTTTGTTCAATGTTATGTAACTACTTATGCCTACATGGCGGTCTGCAACAAAACGTATTTCAGTTCAAGACTCAGGATACTCCATTACATTCTCCCTCCTCACTCACAATTTTCCATTTGCTCCCACCCTTGTAAGTTAGCATTATGATTGACTGTCAATTATGGGTTGTTTTAGGACATTCCCCCCGGATGTTTCCTTTCCAAGGCTTTTTTGGGGTGCGGGATGCACTTTTTTTGTACTTTTTGCAAATCACGTACCCAAATCCTACATTACAATGAAAGCATCGTTTAAGGCGGGGCAGAGTATTTATATAAAGAGCACCAATTGCTGAGCAAATGTGATATATCTACAACAGAATCATAGAACTGTAGAGTTGGAAGGGACCAGAAGTAGCATTGTCCCAGTCTTGTTTAAAGATCTGTGGGAGAAGCTGTGTTCACTGTCCCCACACCCAATTAAATCTGCAGGGGTTGGGGACCATGGGCTGCGCTTTCTTTATAGTGTCCATTTGCCTCTGAAGTGAACTTCACTATAGCAGGGCTGCCATTTTATCACCAGGTTCACTTTTGGGGGAAGGGTGACACACGAGTTAAGTGTGTGTGTGTGTGTGTGTGTGTGTGTGTTGCTGCTGTTTTATTTGTATGGAATTTGTCCTGCTTTAATATTATTGTTTGGTTTTGGTTTTAATTATATTTTATGAAACCTCTCTGCAGCACTTTTGACATGGTAGAATATTTAATAATAGCAACAATAGTAGTGGCCATACACTATCATGTTCCCAATAAATCTCTATTACTTTGCCAAACAAAACAAAACAAAACAAAACAAAACATGGAAGCCATATTAACACTCTGTAGGACAAAGAAAAGGCCATTTAGTGAATTTAGATGCTCTGCAGCCTCCAGTCACCGACTTCTTCCTTCACTACCAAAGGAAGGAATAGGCCTAGTTCCTCTGAATAATAGGTCCATCTGGATCCTAAAGTTCAAGATGTGAAATAGCACCAAGTAAATTTTTCAGCTTGAAATTTGGTACGGTCAGCACCAGAAATTCCCTCTATGGAATATCTCACATTCCATTTTGTCCAGGAAGTGTACCAACATTACAGGGGGAAATATAGTCCACCACAGTGGCCATCATTGCTTTCCCAGAATGTGCTAGAATTATGGTATATCCAGTGCAATGTGGCAGCCATCAAAGGAATGTCACTGCCACCAGGGATAAGTTTAATTCCCACTTCTGAAATTCTCCCCAAGATGCCAACAATTCTTTGAAATGTCCTCCTTATTTCACTGCCTGGAAGTGGTGCAGTGAAAGGAGGGAGCCATTTCAGTCATCCCTAAAGGCAAGCCATAATTCCAGAATACATAGTAATCTACTACCTACAATTCTTTAAGTAACAGATTGGTTTCTATTTATTGGGTATATGCTTACATTTTCTAGTTGCTATCTTCTATTTTCCTCAAAATACTTATAAAATTTGCTATTCTGTATTTTAAATCATTTGTAGAAATTTCCTTTTCCTTAATGATACTATAGTACTCATAAGCTCAATAGTTCTTCCAAAGATCAGATTCAAAGCACTCTGTGAATGCTATCATGCCTAGAAGGAAATTAAACCCTGTAACCAACAAGTGTATGGTTTTTTTTTTAGGTACAGACAGAATACAAGGAAAGTAAACTTGACCAGCACATCAAATAGCAAGGGAGTCTCTACAACACTAAAATTCCCAGGTGTTTCTCTTTTCATAAATTATGTACGCTGATGTATCTAAACAGAAGTGCCATTTTATATTTGACATTTTTAGTCTGAAGAAAAAGGAGATACAGAACCCAGCTCTCATACATGTTAACAGGGGCCAGGCCCATAATACCAAGCAACAGCACAGTTCCTGAAAACCCAGTAAATGGCACACACACACACACCCAGCAAAAATGCATCCCTCATCCTAATTCTGTTCTGCTTTTTCTACCAGTAAATTCTGTTAAAAGGTAAATATCAGAAAAAAGATACCTGGATTCCTGGTTTGTGTATAGACAAACACAGCCAATTATCCTTCAACAGAGTTTAATGGCACTTTCTCCAGTGGGCAAAATCCAAGATAGAAATTAATTTTAAAAAAACCGTCTCATGCATTAAACCTTTAATCCATGATTATTTGTCCTCCAAGGTGGCAGATGGCAAGTCTACTGCTGTTATTAAGACCTCTGCCATGGGCATATGTTTTCCCTGGGGCAACTACAACTCGGATCTTGGTATATTAAAACAGCTAAGTCCTTAACCAAACACAGAAAGTAGATACTCTACCTGGGAACCATAAATTTACCTTGGATGCTATTTTCCCCTGAATAATTATTTCAAATGATATTATTGTAAAACAAACATACATTTCTGTGTAATTTTATGTAGATCTAAGAAGATGCTTCTTTACAGATAAAAATAGCTTTTAAAGAATATTTTTTATAGAATATACTTGTACCATACATACATCCCAGCATAAAATAGCACAGATTAACTAGTCTTCTCTAAAGAGAAGAATATGACACACCAGGTTAGGTATTATGAGCCAAGCTTCCTAAAATTCTACCTCTTGGATCAAGTATTAGCTCAGCGGATATGGATGGAATCATATACAGGGTGTGTCTGTGTGGGTGGGTGTTTGTTTGTGTGTGTGTGTGTGTGTGTGTGTGTGTGAGAGAGAGAGAGAGAGAGAGAGAGAGAGAGAAAATATACATATCCTGTAATGATTCCATCCATATCTGCTGAGCTAATACTGCTGAGCTAGTGTGTGTGTGTGTGTGTGTGTGTGTGTGTGTGTTATATATATATATATATATATATATATACACGCACACACACACACATACGCATAAATACATAGCAATAAAAGCTCCTTTTCTTTCTTATTCACAACTGACCCACCCAATATTCTACTTTCTCCATAATCAGTGCAAACATATTGTCATTTTTTAAAAATTTTTTACTAAAAGTCTCCACAAGGAATTGGTCGATATCTTAAGTGACCTTTCGTTATGTGTGTTTCATTTTCACCTTTTGTCTAACTTGTTTAACTGACTGGTGTGTACACAAAATTAATCTTCTGGCCTTTTATGTACCAAAGTCTCATTAGATACTGTGACCCTGATATCTAACAATATTTTTTTTTGCAACAGTTAAAAGGTTAAAGGGTCTGTGATTAGAAATGACAGGTTTGGAGATCAGTAAATCAATACTAGGCTTTGAGTTGACCACAGTGATAGCTTTATGTACAAAGGTCAAAGCATTTAAAAGGTTCAGAAAATGGTAATGAAAACTCTTCTTTCAACTCCTTTATATTCTCTTTTTTCCAAAGAACACCTGCATACCACAGTAGATTTAGTCAATAGAAAAATTAAAATCATGATTAGAGAAGCATAATGGAGAAGATGGAGAAGGTAAATATTTTGGTAGTAAATTGAAATAAATTTGACTGTTTCCAACAAGACATTTGTTTGAACATGGTAACAGTTCCAATCATACCAAGCCTGCACATGTAATATTAAAGAACTCAAATGTGAAACTGCTTATCGTCTAACAAAACACAAAACTTGTCTCTAAGATCAATCTCTGTACCTGTGGACTGGAAAATGGCCAACATAATACCAAATTTTAAAAAGGGATCCAGGGGAGATTATCTTAACATCTCTTGCAGGAAGACAGATTAGCTTAATGTCTCTTGCAGGAAAACTGGTGGAAAGCATTGTTAAAGATAGAACTAACAAACATAGAGAATCATAGAATCATAGTTGGAAGGCATCACGAGTGTCATCCAGTCCAACACCCTGCAATGCAGGAATTCTTTTGTCCAACATGGGACTTGAATTCACCACTGAGATTCTTCTACTAATAGAAGAATAAGTCTTGCTGAGGAAGAATCAGCCTCATTTCTGCAACCATACATCCTAACTTTTTATATTTAAAGTTCTCAAGAGTGTCATTAACAGTGGCGGAGCTTCATGCTCCGGCACCAGGGGCAGAGAGCAGGCAGGGGCGGGGCATGCCGCCCACAGGAGCATGGCATGAGTCCTGGGGGCGGGTGTGCTGCCTGTGGGGGTGGGGCGCCCAGCGCACGGGGGGGGGCAGCCACGATGGAACCCCACCAGGATCGCGCTGCCGGGGGCGGTGCGCTCCCCCCGCACTCCTCTTCTTCCACCAGTGGTCATTAAGCACATAGATAAGGGGATACAATGTGAAGATATTGTGTACTTTTACTTTTTAAAAGTTTTTGATTTCGTTGATCAGTAACTGGTTAAAGAACAGGAAGCAAAAAGTAGGGAGGGGGAATGTTGAATGCAGTTCAATGTTAGCATGTGTCACATGATACATGCGGGAAGAAAAAATCTGTAACTTCACCTAAACACAAAAGGGATAAAAACTGGCAGTCACTGACTAGGAAAGAGATTTTGGGGTCATGGTGGATAACTAGATGAAGATGTAAACCCAGTATCTGGCAGCTGTGAAAAAGGTGACTTTCATGTTAGGAACCATTAGGAAAAGGATTGAAAATAAAACTGCAAATATCATTCTGATGTAATACAAATGTTAAGTGTGACTGTACTTGGAATACTGTTCACAGTTCAGATAGTTATGCCACACAAAGAATACCCAACATGCTACTGGGTTTTCGGTTCCATTTTTATATATTGTGATTTTACCTTCAGATGGATTGTAATAGCTAGCATATAAGTGCTTTAATGAATAAAAATAAGTTAAATATAACATAGCTGGGTAAGGTTCTTTTAGAAAAAAAATATGTTCAATAAATTCATTACTTTTTAAGCATATTTCGTTGGCAAGGTCACCTTCCCCTTGTCGCACCATGTTACTTTATTAAACAAGGAATATTAATAAAAGGGCTTTTCCTATTTTATTGACATCATGTGTATAAAAACTAAAAATGGAAAATAGATAGGCACCATTCGCTTTTTGAAAAACCCTACCTTCCTGTGGTTTTCCAAAAGCATTCCAAAGAGGTTACTTACATTGCTTTGAAATGGTGAGTTATGGGAAGGCCATAGCTTGAGACTAGCAGCTGAGACAGCAACAGAGATGAAAGTTATTTAGTTCTGTGATTCAAGGGGAAACACAGCTGCTACAGCTGGCCTTCTCAGATCTCAACACTTACTACAATGATCTAGAAGGCGATAATGTGTTCTGTCTCAGTTTGAAAAATGCATTCATAAAAATAGTCTCTAAAAGGGACAAAAAATCTATTAATCACACTTCAGACTGAGTTTTGAGTGCTGAAGCAGGGCTAGGTTTACCCAAAGGGTATCTGATACATTTTGTGAGCTATCTATTCTCTTTGGTCAAACATTTCAATCTAATTTGAACTGTTCCTTTCACATGTGCTCTTATGGAGACAAGACTTGTTTACTATATATGCTTTTGATGCCAAAATAAATAGGTCACGATGAAATTGATAAATTTAAAATTAGACTCAATAAATGCCAATAGGATCGCAACTGAAACGAGAATGTTTTGGAAAGCACAACAGTTTGGCACAAGGAAGATACAATCACTTTACAATGGCTTCTGAAAACCCTTGTATTATAATACTCAAGACAACTGGCTGGATATTTTTCTCACATTTATTTGTCTATTAACTGAAAAATAGTATATTTTATTGGAAATATGACATGCTATATAGAAACTGTAACACTTACTTAAAATAGCTTAAGACAAAGACTGATCTACCTTTAGGTTAGCTAATGAAGCTTGCCTCAGGCAATGGATTTGGGGATATAATTTAAATGGTAGCAAATGCTCAATTATACATGTAGTCATATTTTAAACAATTTTGGGGTGCTGTTTTCTGCCTTGGGGAATAAAACGTGTTGTTATGTTTCTTTATGAGCCTCTTATAAGTCACGAAATACAAAATAAGTAAGTGAATTACACATTTATCATCAATTTAACAAGGGGAGGGAGTTTATAGATTATTATTATTTATTCATTTCTATGTTCAGTGTTAGTCTGTGAAGTAGCATTTATATAGGCACATGTGGAAAGAAAAAACCCAAGCTTTCAACAAATGGAAGCCTGCATGCACATGTATCTGCATATTAAACAGAGGCCACAGAGATCATGAATCTGCACACAAACCAGAGTATTAGGGTAAATTGAGCTGACACTATACACATACAGATATTTAAGTTATTTTCCATTCCAAGGTATTGAAGTTACATCATGCACTTAAGATCTTTGAACTGTACTTAGTGACTGTCATTGCTGATCTTTAGGACTCAGCTTCTTGCTCCAGGAAATCTTGGAAAAAGAGTAATAGTTTTAGCTCTCTAGTTGTATATAGGTTATACAGTCTGCCAACTATATAAATAAAGGCTATTCTGTACAAGTAACTCTGTTCATTGTTTTATTTTTTTTACTTCAAGGTGTTCTAGTTCAAAGAAGGAAGGAAGGAAGGAAGGAAGGAAGGAAGGAAGGAAGGAAAGAAGAATGACCATGGGTTAAAATGGGTATAATGTAATGGGTTTTAAAAGATTTTATATCCAGAAAACAGATTTCATTTATTACTAAGAATATCCATCTATTTTTTTTTAAATGACAGCCACCATTATATAAGTAACTGGTATAATGTAGTCTGCATTGTTAAACAGCCCATTCACCATGTCTTCAGTCTTGGCAATCCCTGAATTCACACATTGTTAAACAACTAATTCGACAGACTTTATGGACACAGGTTTTCTTCTAAAAAGAAAGTAGCTAGAAGCAAAAAGCTACTAATAAGGTAGTTAGTGCTCTATTTGTTAAAGCTAAATTGGGCAGCTGTAACCCCTGTAAATAGCTACAAGCATTCAGCTTCAGCAAAATGAAACTTTCCTCTAACTTTTTTGAGAGTAATTTAATCTGTTATTGTAAACATTATAAGCTATTAATCAAAACATAAATGTCAAGATGATTTTAAACTGACATCAAGTAAAGTCCAGTCAACAAATGCAATAATCTCTTTCCTTTAATCTACACAATGAACACCCCATGACAAAGATTCACTCATGTTTTGTTTTTGTGGGATGTTTTATCTCTAATAGAGAGACACATTAAAGTTGCTTTTTGGCAAGTCAATAATGTCCATCAGCGTAAACAACAACACTTTCAAATTTTATGACATACCAAAGACATATTGTACATATTTTAATAATCTTTTATCAGACTTGGAAACAACCACTTGCCTGGTCACCTGTGGAAAGTACGAATTACCTGTTTACAAGAAGGTGAGTTCCTATTATCCCATAACTGGCCCTGGAAGAAATGTTTCCCTTCCCCTTTTCTAGGATGTCCCCTCCACATCACAAGCTTGTGTTAAATATGGCTATCCTTCCACTATGGCACACTACATATAGTAGATCTATATTATTGCCAAGAAGACAGAAAAAATAGCCACACCAACTCTTGAACATTGCCCAGTTAATGTAAAGCTGTACTCTGAAAGCTGAGTACTATAATCTTTCTTCCTATCAGACCTAGAATGGAGTGGCTGAGTTTTCTCCAACTAAATACCTATTGTAAACAAAAATATGTTTCATACATCACAAAGTAATGTATTTTCAAAGTTATATGTATCAAAACCAGAAAGCAAAATTTATTGTAAAAATGCATTCACAGGTATCTCCTTAAGGTAATAAAAAGACAACTCATATACTTGTAATTAATCTTTTAACTCTTTCTGTGGAGACAGTTAAAATTTTTCTATGATTATGCTAGTCTATCATTCTATAGCTAATTATTCTGCTTTGACTGGTGTGTGTATGAGAGAGAAGGGTGACAGGAAAGCACACACTCACTGAAAGAGATACAAGAGCAAGAAAGAGACAAA